GATAACAAAGGAAATGGAAGTAAGAAAAAGAGTCTGATTTTAGGAAGATGTTAATTTGGTTTTGGACTTGTCAGGTTTGTTGTACCAGTGGGTCCCCTTTTCACTAGGAGCTGTTGGAGAGAGAGATTTTAGACAGTTTATATAGAGACAATAAAAGGAAAGTTTAGAAAGGTTAATTCTAGGTCTGAACCTTGCAGGACTTTTAGAAAGTAGGTAGTCAGAATAAGAAATGAAGGACTATAAAAATGGTAGGAAGAAAAGTACAGTGTGGAGGTAGGAAGCTAAAAACACATGTGTCAGGAATGAGGTGATTGAGAGTGAAATACTGCAGAAAAGTTGAACTTAAAGAATAACTTGGAAAAGGCAATGAAGTTTATAATAGTGACTAAGACTGTACAGTAAGAGTGATGTGGGTATAAGCTGTTTCTGAATAGAGAGGAAAGGAAGTAGTGGCTAAAGAGTATTTTTTTGAAACTAGGTAAAGAAAAAGAACATGATAGACTTGGCCAATGATGGCATACCTTTTAGAAACCAAGTGCCAAAACTGCAACTCAGAACCTACTTATTTATTGCAAAGTGCCAACACTGCTATTAAACATAAATACTGAGGTTTTAGTTTAGAAAAAATAACATCTTTTGTCTTAAAAGAACACAGTAACAGAGCTTTCAGTGATACAGACAGCTTTTTATTGAAAGGTAAAAGTTTTCATTTGGTGTGCTTTTGCACAATTAATGTGAACTTTGCTGTTGTATTCATGCTGATAATTTGTCAAATCTTGGCTCATACTTTGTTCAAGAGCAACACATGCAGCAATCAGGTCTCCTGTTAATCTGTTTCTTGTATCAGATTTGATATAGTTCAAAGTTGGAAACAGCTGCTTACAAGCATAAGATGATCCAAACAAAGTAAGGAAAGCAGTCCCAAGTGCTTTCATTGACTTAAAATTATTTTGCAGAGAATAACATACTTTAAGGATTTAATTTTTCAGAACTGTCAGCTGTGCTGTCCTTTGTCATCCTTTCACACTCTGTCCTATCAAATGTTGTACACGGGTCATAGAATTTATTTTTCCAAGTAGACCTTTCTTGAAATTCTAATAGTTCCATTTCCAGATTTCCAAAATTTAACCAGCGTAAGCAGGAAAGATCAAATTCTTCAACTTTAGCTTTAATACTGGGTTATCTCCATTGTATAGAACTGTAAAACTCTGTTACTAAATTCTCCTTTGCACCTGCTACAGTGCTAGAAAATTTCTTGTAGATTTCCTGATGGCTCATAGGATTGACTGTAAATGTAGAATTTTTCTATGCATTTTTTGATTTGGAAAATATTTAGCCACCCACTTTCAAGGTCTCTTTCAAAACCCTGTGATTTTCTCTCAAATATATTGATGTCACAAAATATCCTTTCTGCTGTTTTCACTATACCTTGTAGTTTTTTGTTCAGTACATTGAAATGTAGTGTAAAATCTGTTGCAAACATGAAGTTAAGCCAGTCCATATCGATGAGCTGTGGATATTCCTCCCCTTTTTTGTTCATAAATAGCCTAATTTTATTTGAGCAGGCTACACATCTCTCCGGGACTGGTCCTCTGCTCAGCCACTGGACATTATTGTATATAAATAAAGCATTGTCCTGTGCCTGAACTTCATCAAGACGTGCTTGAAACTGTCAAAAATTTAAAAACACAGGCCATTATTTAACATTTTTGTGACATCTTTGAGAATGTCCACTAAATTTTTGCTGCTTTTCTTGGCACAAAGAACTTCTTTATGTATAATACAGTGAAACTGAATGACTAGATATTTTGCTTCTTTAACACAGAACTGTATGAAACCAGATGTTGTCCACACCATGCAAGGTACCCTGTTGCTAGTAATTTAAACCACTTTAATCTTGTCTTGTGACAAAAAAGCCTCCATCACAGCATTGTAGATACTTATCCCTTATTCTTCCAGGCAGAGACACCAGTTTTACCAGTTCTCATGAGGTGTTGCCAACAGCATAATTCAAAAGTACTGCTACCTTTGCATGATTATTTATATCTGTGCTTTCATCCAAGCACATGGAGTAACAGGCTGCCTTTTGTAAGTCTGTGGTGAGCTGCTGACTGTCACTTGCCATGCACAGGACTTGATTTTTAACAGTATTTCTGCTAAGTGGCATCTCAAAGATGTGCATAATTTTATACTTGTTTGGGAAATCATGAAAAAGAGAATTGCTCCCAGACTCTGGCCATTTTGACAAAAATCCCCATTAGAGGGGCCTTAATATGTTTTGCTATGCACAGTGAGATTTAAAAGCTGGTCGCTTTCTATTTTATAAAGGTGTTACAAAAAACTAACATACTGAGATTGATATTTCTCCAATTTCTCTTAAAAAAACTCCTTTCAGTTTCATCAAGTTGGGCAAAACTTTTGTGGTTGGTGTCAAAGTGCAGTCTGACACTTGATGTGCAGCACAACATTTGCACTACGTAGAATACGTAACGCTTTCCCATTGCATTCACTCACTCCAAATGACCCTGTCCAGGTCTCTTGGAATGGTCTTCCACTGTTTTCAGTTTTTATTTTTTTGGTGGAGTCAGTTTTTGGTGTTCAAGCATAAACTTTAAAAATAAATGAAGCATCCAATCCAAATCTAACCCTATACCAAAAATAGCTAACACTGTTAGTTGACACTAAAGAATTGGATATTCCCTGAATCAGCAGTCTGTGGCAGTGATTCTCAGCTGGGGTTCCTTTTGAATTTGCTGACCATCATTGTAAGGGAGCAGTGTTCACTGGCCACCAGCTTTTGGCCGGCTCTGAAAAAGGCATCTGAATGTATTTTCTACGTTGTGGGGCTTCTGCAAAGTCACAAGCTGTCCAAGCAAATATATGTGTATATCTCCTTGCTTTTGTTTTCAGAAATTCTTCACAAATAACCAAATATGATGCTGCATATTATGTTCATTTATGTCAGGGGGCAGCACAGCATTAAAAGAATTTGTCTCTTAAATAGAATATCTCTTTGCTAAGTCTTGGATACTGAATTTTAGTTTTTCATAAGAAACTCAAAGCTTAATCTTGTGTTAATAAAAACAAATGAATTAAATCTGCCAGTCCAAGCAAATAGATATAGATATAGATATAGATATAGATATAGATATAGATACATCTCCTTGGCAGCACACTGACCAGCCATGTGAAAGCTCAGACGAGTTGTGTGTAGTGAGTTGCAGCTCCTGACATCATCTCTTGGTGCTGCTACTCCTTTCTGAGCATGGGTGTGGCCACCATGTGCACTGTTGCCTGATGCTTGGCTGCTGGTGCAGTGCTGGGGCAACTTGGCTCACATGTTGACAGAGAGGGCTCTCGGTGCCTGCTGTTCACCACCACTAGACCAGGCAGTCTAGAGTATAACCATGTGGAAGAGAAGTTTTTCCTGGATGAGATACTGAGACTGTAGAAGAGTGAATGGAAAGAAGCTGGCCTTGAAGATGCAAGGGCTGTTTTAGTGGTATAGTCTGGTAATGGGAAGTGGAGGACATAGAGTGCTAGGCATTTGGGACAGATTAACTCTGTTTTTCCACTTCTGTTTGGTTCTGTGCATCATTTTGATATAGTAATACTTTATCACTTTAAACAGGGTCAGTAAATCATAACCCCACCCCACTTCTTTTTTTAGATTGGGCCTCGCTATGTAGTTCAGTTCAAGCTGGCCTTGAACTTACTATGTAGCCCAGGCTGGCCTCAAATCCTCCTGCCTCATCCTCCTGAGCACTAGGATTACAGGCATGTACTACCATTCCTGGTCTCTTTTCTCTAAATCTGACCTGAGACTTTTTGACTCGTTTTTGTACAGTCTTCAAGCTAAGAATTTATATATTTAAAAAATGTTATATAACATCTTAGAATGTAATTATAATTGTAATTTATTTTATTTTCCTAAATTTTGAAAATACTCGACTATATTTTTAAACAATATTTTAGGTGGTTGAAGAAAAATAAAAAATATATCATGACATCAAAATTCTATGAAATTGAGTTTTCAGTGTCCATAACAGCATTATTTTTGAAGAACACAGCCACTCATTCATTTTTGCTTTTGTGTTATAGTAGTAGAATTGAGTAGGGCCACTGAGACTGTATGTGCACACAGTCTAAAATATCTACTCTCTGGGCCTTTATGGAAAGTTTGGTGAGTCAGGCGTGGTAGCGCACGCCCGTAATTCCAGCGCTCAGGAAGCTGAGGCAGGAAGATTGTTGTTTGAGGCTGGCCTGGGTTACATAGGGAGCTCATGACCAGCCTGAACTACAATGGGAGTCCCTGTCTCAAAAAGAACAAGACCAAAAAGGGCTGGGGATTTAGCTCAGTGATTCCGCTGCCTGCCTCACAAGCACAAGGACCCGAGTTCAATCCTCAGTACCCCCCAAAAAAATTTCTAACAAAGAAAAAAAAGTTTGGCAATTCTGACCTAGAAGGAGGACTGTTATAAAGATAATAATTGGTGGGGCAACCCACTTTCTTATCCCCCTTGTGTCTTTCTTATATAGAAGCTGTCTTTCTCTCAATAAATTTTTCCTACTCTTAACCTCCTAAATAAATAAATAAATGAACATCACATGGTTTCTCTTATATGACAGACCCATAGTGTAAGTAAATTAAAGAGCAAAATAAAAGATAATGGGAAACAGGGAAATAGATCTTTTGCAAATGGGAAGGGGGTAAAGAGATGGAAGAGGGAGGAAGTAGAAAAGAAGATGTAAGAAGAATTAAGATGTGTTATGTACGTATAACCAACTCCCCATGATGAATGTAATCAGGTACTGCAAACGTACTAATATTTAAAATAAGACACAAGCAAAAAAGAAATAGGTTAAAAAAAAAGATAATTGGTTCTCTTCCTCTTCTTATTCTTCTTCCACCTCCTGTTCATCTTCCTCTTCCTACTCCTTTTCCTTTCTCCTTTTTTCATTTTTGTTTGAGAAGTTCTTGCTATGTAGTCCAGGCTGGGATTGAACTCACTATGTGGAAGCTGACCTTGAAATTGTGATCTTCGTGACTCAGCTTCTAGGTTAAAGGTGAGTGCACCACCATGCCAGGATGTTGGTTCCTTTTTGACTCTCCCATGTAACTTCCCAATGAAGGATTTCTTAATTTTTTTTATTTTTTTGGTACTGGAGATTGAACTTGGGTCCTTGCACTTGCAAGGCAGGCCACTGAACCGCTGAGCTAAATCCCCAGCCCTAATAAAGGATTAAAAAAAAAAAAAAAAAGACATTGGGCCCTTTATTTTAGCCTAATTCTGATCACCATGAATGCAGAATATTTTGTTTTAAGCATCTTTGATCACGTTAAAATTGATATACTAGGTAGGCATGGTGATACACATCTGTAATTCCTGTAGTCTGGGAAACACCAGGCAGAGGATGGCAAAATGAAGCCCAGCCTGGGCAGCTTAAGTGACTTAGCAAGACTTTTGTCACAAAATAAGAAAGGACCTGGGAATGTGGCTCAGTGCAAAGGTCTTGGACTCAATTCCCACAAAAAACACAAACTTACAATATAGTATAGCTAGGATGCTTATTAAAACATCTGACCTCACACTGCCCTGGTGAAGAGCAGGTCCTGTTTTTTTTGAGCAGGTGGTTATTATTTGGAAAGAAACACAATGAAATTGTAAATGGCAGTTGCTGACATTTTTCAGCGAAAATCGTAGACTTATCAATTAAATTTCTGGGCTTCATTTTCTAAAGGAAAGTTAGAATAGAAAAAAGAGGAAATCTCAGTTAAAAATTAGCCACAAAGTAGTAATAAACCATATAAAACCAGTATTCTAAGTGAGGTAGTTTGTTGTTGTTGTTGTTTTTTTTTTTTTTTTTTTTTTTTTTTTTTTTGCAGTGGGGATTAAAACCAGGGTGCACATGCTGGGCAAGTGCTCCACCACTGAGCTATGTCCTTAGCATTTGCATTTTTAATTTTTTTGGTTCTAGGGATTGAACTTGGGTCCTTGTGCTTGAGAGGCAGGCTGTGGCACTACTGAGCTAAATCCCTGGCCCTTTATTTTTATTTTTGAGATACAAAATATCACTAAGTTGCCGAGGCTGACCTCAAACTTACCTGCTTCAGCATGCTGAGTAGCTGAGATTACAGGTATGTGTCACACAGGAATATGATATACCCCTAACTCAGTTACTCTTCACATAATATTCTGAGATACTATTGCTATTCCCATTTTCCACACAAGAAAACTGAAACAGAGAAGAATAATATGCTTCAGGTCACAGGTAGTAAATGGGTAAGCTGAGCAGTGTCAGTGGTCTTGGGAGGAGGATGTAGAGAAGCATGTGAAAGAGAGCCAGAATCAGAAAGAAGGTGGCATTGTGGTTGCTGAAATGAGAGAAGAAAAGAGATATGCTGTGTCACAGAGGTCCAGGAGAAGCACTGCCAAGAGTCCATTGCATTTGGCAGTGAAGGTCATTTGGAGAGAGGAGCCGAAGGGATTGTGGAGACAGAATGAGGGAATGGCAGAGGAATAACTGGTGAGGAAATGCTGTGTAGCAGCTAGAGATGCAAGGGAAGGTGTTGCCAGATGTGGTGCGGCAGTATGGTTTTGCTTTGCTAGATACTTGAACAGGTTTTGTGCTGAGGATAATCACTCACTGAAACAGATTGGAGTTGCTAGAGGAAAGGTTGTTGATAGGAAAGCAAAGGCTCTGAGGAGGAGAGGAAAGGAATAGGATTTGGTTTGTTTGTTTGTTTGCTTTTTGAGATAGGGTCTCACTATGTAGTTGAGACTGACCTGGAACTCACAATGCAGCCCAGGCTGGTCTGAACTCACAGAGCCCCTCCTGCTTCAGCCTCCCTAGTACTGGGATTACAGGCATACACTACCATGCCTGGCAGGAATAGGATTTGGAGCATGGAGGTATTAATGGGTGGGAGGCAGGGAGGTACTTTCTTCACTGAGGTAGCATGGAGTAGGTGAAGTGAGCATGGTTGCTGGTGTTGTGGGCGGTGTTGGCTCAGTCTTTCTTGGGACACTGGCTGAAAAGGAGTTAGGTTAGATACGAAATGGGCCTGAGAGCAGTGGCAGTATTTGGAGTATCTGTGGTGGGAAGCAGGGGGATGAAGGCACCAAAGGGCAGGAGATGACTGTAGCTGCGCTATGGCTCGGTAGTTAGCAATGTTGATTTATAGAGGTACCTTTTGCCACAGTAGCTTGAATTTAACCCTGTGTCCTACTAGGACTCCAGAGCCAGGTAAAGGAGAGAAGTTTCTTGTTTGCTTCCTCAGAGAAGCCTTTTGTGGCCTACTAAATGTAATGTCTTTATTTATGGGCTCTTGTTGCTCTGTTTTTTTTTTTTTTTTTTGTTAAAGGGGATTGAACGCGTCCTTGCGCTTGCAAGGCAGGCCACCGAACCGCTGAGCTAAATCCCCAGCCCTGTTGCTCTGTTTTTCTAAGTTGTAATTTTGTGTTTGATTTTTCTGGTGGTTATAAATTAAATCATTTGATTTATATTTATTTTCTGCAGTATCTAAAAGCTCTGAGGATGGGTATGTCTGATTTTTCTTATCATTGTTCAGTATCTGGCACCCAGTAGACACTGGGTGAATGATTACTAAATTTAATGAAACAAATACAATGGTTCTCACCAGGGTGATGGCACATGCCTATAATCCCAGCACTCGGGAGGCTGAGGCAGGATTGCCAAGCGTTCAAAGCCAATTTAAACTACATAGTGAGACTCGGTCTCAGGTAACCCAAAGCAGAACAAAACAATACACTGATTCTCAACCTTTCTGTCCCACACTCCTGTGGAGTACAGCTTGCTTCATTATAAACTCTTTATGGTCTGCCCTGATCTTCACCTAAAGGAGGGTGATATTAGGTGGTACAGGATAATGGCTGGGGAAATCATAGTGTCTGGAGTAAGGATAGACACCTGTGCTCTTTCTTGTGCTAGCCTAGCCTCAAACTATTTTTTTTTTTTTATGGCTCTTTTCAGTTTATTGCATGAAGGAGTTATACTGGTCAAGTAGACACTGGGTGAATGATTACTAAATTTAATGAAACAAATACAATGGTTCTCACCAGGGTGATGGCACATGCCTATAATCCCAGCACTCGGGAGGCTGAGGCAGGATTGCCAAGCGTTCAAAGCCAATTTAAACTACATAGTGAGACTCGGTCTCAGGTAACCCAAAGCAGAACAAAACAATACACTGATTCTCAACCTTTCTGTCCCACACTCCTGTGGAGTACAGCTTGCTTCATTATAAACTCTTTATGGTCTGCCCTGATCTTCACCTAAAGGAGGGTGATATTAGGTGGTACAGGATAATGGCTGGGGAAATCATAGTGTCTGGAGTAAGGATAGACACCTGTGCTCTTTCTTGTGCTAGCCTAGCCTCAAACTATTTTTTTTTTTTTTTGGCTCTTTTCAGTTTATTGCATGAAGGAGTTATACTGGTCCCAGTGAAAGCAGACCCCAAATGGTTACATTATACAAGCTGTAAGGTTTTTCAACTGGTGACAAGGGACAGAAGGGATATTCTGCTCATTGGAAGGAAATCCTCTCTTAAGCTTCAGTGAACCACAAGCACTTTAAACCCATGAATCTTCAGCCATGCACTTTAGGCAGTCCAGTCTGTACCAGGAACTGGCATGTGTTCTTGTGCTGGTCACCCTGGAGCTGCATTACTTCTTCATATTCTGAAGCTCCATTACAGTACCACTGCAGGCAAATTTCTTCTTAAATGCCTTCACCAGTTTCTTTTTATCATAATCATCAGTGATTCCTTGAACAGTGGTAAGTGTCTTTCTGCCATTTCTCTGTTGGATTCTTACGTGGATATAACCTTCAGTGCCAGCAGGAAGCAGGTCATCACCCTTACTTTCGTGAGCAAAGGGGTCAAAAGAGTGGAGGTTTAGATAGCAGAATTGTATGATATGATTCTCATTCGTTTTCCTCAGTGGAAGGTGGTTGTGTGAGAAGGTAGGGACACGGATTGCAGGGAAGCAGGGGATTCAAGGGGAAGGCAGCTGAGCCCTCAAGTGGCAGCTCAGTGACTTGGCACAAACTTTGTGATCTGGGAAAATTTGTAAGTTAGCTGTGCCCCAGTGTCCCCTTATATAATGTTTGGTTGGTAGTAGTACCTACCTCATAGGGTTGTTATGGAGATTACATGAGAGAATTCATGTAAAGCCTTTAGAAGTGCATACAAGATGTGAAAACTAGTTATTGCAACTAGTGATTTGAAAAAAGTTTCCTAGATGATTTTGATATCCTTCCTTTCTTGAGAGTTCTGGCTTTATGGTAAAAGATTCGTAAGGTAGGCACCCCTGTCAAAACCATTTTTGTTTTCGTTTTTGAGACAAAGTCTTCCTCTGTAGTTCAGGTGGGACTTGAACTCACTGTGTAGCCCATGTTGGCCTCAAACATGTAGGGATCTAGCCGAGTGTGGTGGTGCATGCCTGTAATCCCAGCACTCGGGAGGCTGAGGCAGGAGGATCACTGTGAGTTCAAGACCATCCTGGGCTACATAGTGAGTTCTAGGTCAGTCTCAACTGCATAGTGAGACCCTGTCTCAAACAAACAAACAAACAAAAAAACCCAAACATATAGGGATCTCATAGCTTTAGCCAGCCACCTGAGTGCTGGGATTATAGATGTGCACCCTCATGCCTGTTTTTTTTTTTTGAGACAGGGTCTCCCTTTGTAGTCCAGGCTGTTGAACTCAGCAGTCTTACTGCCTCAGCCTCCCAAGCCTCCACGCCCAAATTGCTTGTTGGCATCTAATGTGTGTAGTGGTTTTCTCAACTCATTGACTAGCGCCTGGAACAAATCCATTTTCGTCCTGCAGGAGTATCATCAAGAAATGGTAGAAATATCATGTGGCTGCTCACTTTTGTAGCCTTCCCATCTGGACTGAGGAACATTGACTGTTATCTGCTTTACACCTGCCATGTTAACTTAGTTCTTTGGGATTTTTTTTTGTTTTTGTTTTTTGTTTTTGCAGAGGAGGTGGCCAAGTTGGAGAAGCACTTGATGCTTCTCCGACAAGAGTATGTCAAGCTTCAGAAGAAACTGGCAGAGACAGAGAAGAGATGCACTCTTTTGGCCGCACAAGCGAACAAGGAAAGCAGCAGTGAGTCGTTCATCAGCCGCTTGCTGACAATAGTGGCTGACCTCTATGAGCAGGAGCAGTACAGGTAAGCTCCTGGATGTGGGAAGGGGAACCCTCTGCTTTACTCCTGGGCCATCACGAAACATTGCAGCTTCTCCTCCTCATTTACTTTGTTAAGTTATTTCTCTTTAAGCAGGATTATTAGCAAGCGTTTATTCCCTAGAAAGTCAGGTCCTTGAGGGAGAGTTTTTGAAAAACTTATTTATTGTCTGTCTCCAGCACAGTGTGGGAGTCATGGCAATAGCATTGCTAAGGCAGGCAGGAATTACTTTACATGTCTAAAAATTTATAGATATCTTTTACCAAGATATTAAAAATAAATACTTTGTTCTCTAGCGTGCATTTTGTTGAATTTAAATAGTGTTTTTGTACACATCTCAATAACTGGAGTGACTGCTATGTAGTGTTTGCAGTACTAGGGGTCAAACCTAAGGTCTTGCACATGATAGCAGGCACTCTACCTCTGAGCTATTCCCCATTTCTGACATGTGTTTTTTAAAACTATTATTAGATGTCAGGCATGATGGTGCACACATGTAATCCCAGCAGGAGGCTGAGACAGGAGGATCACCATTAGTTTAAGGCCAGTCTGAACTACATAGGGAGATTCTGTCTCAAAAATAAAAGCCAAGCCAGGTGTGGTAGCACACACTTGTAATACCAGTACTTGGTAGGCTGCAGCAGGTGGATCACGAGGAGTTTGAAGCCAGCCTGGACTACATAAAGAGTTCAAAGCCAACCTGCACTACATGGTGAGACCCTGTCTCAAAGCAAAACAAAACCAAAAATACAAAAACAAATTAATTAAGAAGGAAAGTTATTATTAGCAATTATTAAAATCCTTGTCTTTCCTTCCCTTTGGTATGCCAGACTAGAAAGAGAAAAAAATTGTTTGACTTGACATTTTATGAGTAGAAAGCCCTCAGAAATATTCTTTTTATATTTTTTTGTGACTAAAGGTTAGAATTATGATTGAAACAGTATAGACATTGAAAATCCATTTAAATTATTAGAATATAACTCTTTATAAATATAATAGAGATAAATTATTTGTGCTTTGTAGATAGCTTCCTATTTTCATTAAATTTTTAAAACTTTATGATAGGATATGATTTGAGACAGTTTTAAATATAATATTAATTCTTTTTTTAGTACTAGGAATTGAACCGAGGGCCTTAGCATTGAGCTACATTCTCACCTCCTTTTTTGTACTTTTTATTTTGAGATAGGGTGTAAGTCACTAAGTTGCCCAAGCTGCTTCAACTTGTGAGCTTTCTGCTTCAGCCTCCCCAGGGTTCTGGGATTACAAGCATGTGCTACAATGCCTAGCTAGAATACTAGTTCTGTTTTTCCTTTGTATTTATTGATTAATATATTTTATGACACGGTTGTAACAATGTGAAATAACATGTATTACTCTTGCAATCTAATGTAATTAATTACAGCTTAGTCTTTAATCAAGCTGAAATTACTTATATTCTTACACGCTTATAAAGTGTGTTCTGAATAAAATTTTATGGAGTTAAATTTGTTTGTGTCAGCATTATATAGAGGCCAAATTCTGCCTGGGTCTCCTTTTTCATGTAATAGTTTTTCTTTTTCCCCATATAATAGTTTTTAAGATTTAGTTTCTAAAGGATTTCCCACCTAATAAATAATTGTAAGGGGAAGTATGAAAATGTAAATACAAGTAGGGTGATGGAAATGAATAGCTTTGCACTGCTGCCAGCATAGCCATATCATATCAGCTCCGTGGGTCATCTTGGCTTTTTTGTTAACTGCCTAGAAGCTTTCTTCCCTTAGCATTGATGTTTGAAAGGTAGACATAAATATGTGTTCCAGGAACTCTTTTCATGTAATGATATATAATAAATAATAGAAACATGTTTTGAGAAAGGAAATATCTCTCCTCATTTCTTTATAAAAGGTTGAGTAATAAATGGCCAACATTAGGTCCAAATGCTGCTGGTGAGAACAGGCATCCAGGTATTGGGTTTCTAATTCTTGACGGCTTTGTCAAAGCCAATTTGTTCATATTTTTCTATTTAACCTTGTTTGAGCATTCGTATGGAGCAGAGTCGCGCTGTAGTCTCAAGGTTGTCATCATAGTCTTTAAGGTTTCCACCTTTCTCTCTGTGATTTATCTTGATTTGTTCTATATGAAGCATCTAATTTATATATTAGTATTAATCATTCTACTTAACTTGTAGTTCACCACCATAAGAACCCTATAAGGAGAGCATTCTGTGTGAATTAGATAGATGTTAGAAATAAAAAAAATAATTCAAGCAACATATTGTAGACATTGCCCATCACAATCCAGCATAATCATATAGAAATAATTTTGCCATTTTTTTTCGTTTTATAGATGCATTTTTATCAGTCAGTACCAATGTATTTATTAGCTATAAATCCTAACTATATCTAGTTATGATGACATTTTTCTTTTCTTAATCCAGATATTTTTTCTTTTTTTTAAATCAGTGATCTGAAGATCAAGGTTGGGGGCAGGCACATTAGTGCTCACAAATTTGTCCTGGCAGCCCGCAGTGACAGCTGGAGTTTGGTCAACTTGTCTTCCACTGAGGAGCTGGACCTGTCAGGTGAGCCCCTGTTCCATCAGGAATACAAAAGCGACAGCATAAGAACTTTGGGCAGAAAGTCGTGGTGTGTCATTTTGAAATACTGTGGTTTAATGAAAGTAAAATAATTTTCTTATCAGTTGGTGAATGCTATAAACTACTTAAATAGTCACTCTCAAGAGGTTGTACTTTGTGGTTGCTTGTATTTATTATTCTCTGGCCAACCAGTCATAAATATTTGAATATCTACAACAATCTTATGACTTATAAAACAGACATACTTTCTGTAAGCCCATTTCATATATAGATGTGTTATGTACTCCAAGAAGGGATGGGGATGTAGCTCAGTGGCACTCTGCCTGCCTGGCAGGTGCAAGGTCCTGAGTTTGATCCCTGGTACAAAACAAACAAACAAAACGAAGAACATTAAAAGTATCTTTTGAAGGCATTTATTTTTGACTTCATACAGAATAGAATTAATGCATAATTTAAAAAACCCATTAGTGGGCTGCGGATATAGCTCAGTGGTTCTGCAGCCTGCCTCGGTCCTGAGTTCTATCCCCAGCACCAAAACAAAAAAACCCATTAGATTGACCTGGTATGGTATCATATGCCTGTAGTCCCAGCTCTTGGGAGGCTGTGGCAGGAGGATCTCTAGGAGTTTGAGGCCTATATAGTAAGAACTGAACTATATAGTAAGAACCTGTATTTAAAAAAAAAAAAAAAAAAAACCA